ACGTCCCCGTCCCGACTCATACCTCCGTCCCCCGACGACGGCCCCCCGATGACCGATCAATATCCTGATCACGGGCGAACAATTGGGTATGAAGACACAAGGACGAAATTATATATGGGGGACGTCAGAACGATGATGTAGTAAACGCGTCACGGTATACACCTGCCTACCAGCGCGCACAGTAACATCTCCTCGCTCGTGTAATAGCCGGTGCAGTCGGACCATGTACCCCTCAAGCAGTGCACGACGACCCACCAGTCGCGTGTACCAGACCGGTCATTGCAAGATACATCGTGTGTCATGACGGCCGCCTTCCGTCTCGTAGGCACGCTATTAGCAACATATATGTCATACATCTGGCGGCCGGCTCCTGACAACCACGACTCGTCCCCAGACGACACGCCATCATGGTGTGCAATGAACCACATGCTCCCCTTCTCAGATGTGAACCACTGTGCCTAGACATCACCGGATGTAGGCCAATAAGTTGCGCGATCATGTACACCAGTACATGTGTCGACTTTCCACGAGCGCGTTTGTGTTTTGGCTCCGTCCAGCTATGGTTTCTTGCATACCCACCCCTCCATCCCTCGTATGTGAGACGATTCCTTCCCATTCATACCAGCGTCATCGACGGATTTATCGATTTATTTGATGCGCCACGGGCTAGCGGGATGCGAAGCTGTGTACACCGATAGACAGCAATTCTTGTTTAGAGGTGTCCATAAGAAGACGCCCGCACCCATGCGGCACATGTATGTAGTCTCATCATATGACGGCATACATGTTGGTTCCGTGTCTCTCTCCACTCCCGTAGTCTCGCATGTTTGTTTTTCCTTGCTACAAGCATGCCAGGAAAAGACAACAAACCCTGTCTCCCTGCCCACCTGTACTAGCAACATCGACACAGGTGTCTGGGTTTACCACATCGATGCGCAACAAGTGGGCGAGACGCGAGGCCGTAAGCCGGTACCATACACACCAGCGTAACCAACTCTACATATATTGGTTCTTTCCACCAAATTATGTCGTTCCACCGACTATCCCGTGCACTACAACCCACATTCGGGCGTGCACAACCGGCCCATGCAACATTTGGTATGTGTCATGACGACCGCATACCTTCTCGCAGTCGCACCAGCGACCTACATGCCATACACCTGGCGCGCGGTTCCTGACCACCACGGATCATCTCCAACGACCCGCCATCCTGGTCTACCATCAAGAGGCCGTGAGCCGGCAACCATGCGCTCCAGCATAACCAGCTCCATATCTATTGACTTGTTCTGTTTATCGTGCTGTTCCATCGATTATTTCACGCACGACGACCTACAGTCGCGCACGCACAACCGGCCCATGTAAGATTCAGTGTGTGTCATGACGGCCGCACGCCGTTCCGCAGTCGCACCAGCGACCTACATGCCATACATCTTGCTTTCGGCTCCTGATAACCACGACGCATCACCTGATGAGACGCGACCATCAATAGGCCGTGAGCCGGCAACCATGCGCTCCAGCGTAACCAGCTCCATATCTATTGACTTATCTTGCCGTTCCACCGATTTTCCATGCACGACGACCCACAGTCGCGCGCGCCCAACCGGCCCAGGTAAGATTCAGTATGTGTCATGACGGCCGCATGCCGTTCCGCAGTCGCACCAGCGACCTACATGCCATACGTCTTGCTTTCGGCTCCTGATAACCACGACGCATCACCTGATGAGACGCGACCATCAATAGGCCGTGAGCCGGCAACCATACGCTCCAGCGTAACCAGCTCCATATCTATTGACTTGTTTTGTTTATCTCGCCGTTCCACCGATTATTCCATGCACGACGACCCGCATTCGCGCGTGCACAACCGGCCCATGTAAGATTCAGTCTGTGTCATGACGGCCGCATGCCGTTTCGCAGTCGCACCAGCGACATTCACGCCATACATCTTGCTTTCGGCTCCTGGTAACCACGACTCGTCACCCGATTAGTCGCTACAATTGTACCATGTTCGACAATCAATCATCTCACCCTTCTCATCCGGTCCACATTGACTTCTGGAAAACCTCGTGGGAAAAAAAAAACCATTCATCAAGTGTACACGACATGACAAGCAGCAACGACAACCGAAAGTAGATTTGTGTTTGTCTCTGGGTTTGGACGGCGGTTTTTCACCAATCCACCACCCTTGTCTCGCGCCGACAAACACCCTAGATAATAAGTCTCGTCTTGTGATCGGGATTTATCACAACCACACCATAGTTTCTCTGACAATATGGATCGAAAAGTACAACACTTTTGCGATGCTATTGATTTCCTGTCGCATCATTGTATGCAGCTCCATGTACACCAGTACATCACTCGTGGATGACTAACGAAGCATGCTTGTCTGTGGCACCCACCACTGTCACATGTACATAGTGCCACCCCTGATCCACACACCGGTGCGAACCATGCACCACCCAATGTCCACACACCGGTGCAAACCATGCACCACCCAATCTGACCATTGTGCTTAGGCATCGCCGGGCCTAGGCTCACGAAATGCGCGATGATAGACTGCCGAATGGGTCACGTACGCATTCTGTTTTTGGGTTGGTTTGTGTGCCGTGTGTCTTTCCACCAAATTATTTGGTTCCACCGATTTGTCCATGCACGGAATCCACATTTGGGCGCGCACAACCGGCCCCTGCCACATATGGTATGTGTCCTGACGACCTCGTATCGTCTCGCAGTCGCACCAGCGACCTACATGCCATACGCCCGGCGTGCGGTTCCTGACCATTACGGATCATCTTCAATGTCCGCCTGGGTCTACCATCAATAGGCCGTGAGCCGGCAACCATACGCTCCAGCGCAACCAGCTCTTTATCTATTGACTTCTTCCGTTGATCGTGCCGTTCCACCGATTATTCCCAGCACCGCGATCCACCGTCGCGCGTGCACAACCGGCCCATGTAAGGTTCCGTATGTGTCATGACGGCCGCACGCCGTTACACAGGCGCACCAGCGCCTACATGCCATACATCTTGCTGTTGGCTCCTGATCACCACGACTCATCACATGACGAGACGCCACCATCAATAGGCCGCGAGCCGGCACCATACGCTCCAGCGCAACCAGCTCCATATCTATTGATTTTTCTTTGTTTATCGTGCCGTTCCACCGATTATTCCACGCACGACTACCCACATTCGTGCGTGCCCAACCGGCCCATGCAAGATTCAGTATGTGCCATGACGGCCTCATGCCGTCCACATTCGCACCAGCGACCTACATGCCATACATCTTGCTTTCGGCCCCTGATAACTACGACCCATCATCGATTAGTCGTTATCATGCCCAACGATCGGTCATCGTACTCTTCTCATCCGGTCCACATTGACTTCTGGAAAACCTCGTGGGAAAAAAAAAACCCGTCCATCAAGTGTACACGACATGACAAGCAGCAATAACAACCGAAAATAGATTTGTTTTTGTGTGTGGGTTTGGCACTGGGTTTGGACGGCAGTTTTGTTTGTCACCAATCCACCACCCTTGTCGCACTGCGACAAACACCCCAGACGATGTGTCTCGTCTCGCGATCAGTATTTCTGATAATCACACCATAGTGTCTCTGACACTACGGACCGGAAAGCACAACGCGTTTTCGATGCGGTCCTGTCTTTCGCATCTTTCTCATAGTCGATGCGTTGAAGTTTAAAAATTGGGACCGCAGTCACATCATAACCGCACGCAGCACCCCGAATTCCACCTTCGGCACGGTGCCCTGTAATGCGACACCCATAACCGGCCGCGGCGCCTCTCCCGCGCAACCAGCACACGCACCGCGGCCACCTAACCACATTGTCGGTGAGACATAATATATGCTGTATGCGTACATAGGAACGCGAACACGCGCTCGTACCGCTCTATGTGACCATCACTCAGCACACCAGAAGTGATCGGGTGCTTCGGACATGCTCGATGATATCTGCTGTCGCATGATGCAAACTCGGCCGGTACCCCGCGCAAGCGAACGACCGGCATCGAGGGAGTCGCGGCGCCTACCGCATGCACACCCGCGCACACACCGCAGTCACACCAGTAACCGGTGGCTTCTTTCGGACGCGCTTTCCGAACACGCCCAACAGCAGTCAACAACATCGATACAGCATGCCCACACCCGCCCGCCACTTCAGATATGGCACGTGAATCCTTCTCGGCCCCCGTGTGCCGTATACAATAACAACATTTGTCATTGTGTGCACTCACTGCTGTCTGCGAAAGCCAGCTCTCGCTGTGATGCTGCTGGGATAACACGCCACATCGCAGTCAGTCGCACGTACCAAGCGAAGTCGATGTGTTCCAGGCTCGACGTAGCGACTCCTCCCGCCCAGCGGTAGTGGCCTCCGCCCCGTCGGAAAAGACGACAACACTAGCTCCCGCAACAGAATGTCCTAAACCAGCAGCTGGCAGAGTGTTGTCCAATCGTACGTCTAGCAGTCCCTGTGCTCCAGCACTGCTGATGCTCCAACGTGATCGGGCGCAAACGGAATGTCCTGCGGGCAGCTGCCTTATCTCGGTGCGCATGCCTCCTCTCCTGCAAGCACGCAGACATACTCTTTGCCATATAATATAAATGCCCACTCCTTCTACCAACTCCAATAAACACCAATTTCAGACTCCTCCCCCCTTTGGTAGGATCCATCTGAAATATTCGCTTTTTGTAGAAAAATACTGCTGTCCAAGCACACATGCACCCCCGCTCTTCAGGCAGTTCTGCCAGTCGCCGTTCGTTGCCACAGGAGCACCATATCGGGTTGCTTCCTACGACAATGACTTCCATGACGACGAGTGGTATTTAGGACACAAGCAACGTTGTTGGTGCTAATTATGGCCAAACGTCTACAATCCACAACGAACGATGTTGCGCGGCCTGCCGGAGGCCGGTCTTGCACCACCACGACACCCCAGTATCTTGCTCGTCTCATTAGGCGGCGTTTTCATGTTTTGTCGCTGAACAGCTGGAGCAGGAGAGGAAAGTGCCCGAGCGTGGCGGCATGGACGGCCAAGAGCAACAAGCAAACGCGGTCAAGGTTGTGGTGAAGATCGTCGTACAGAACCTGGAGAAGAAGGCGGGGCTTGCAACCAGACTCGTCGAGCAATACCAACCAGACATCCTGCTGGCGCAGGAGTTAAACCGCTCTTCGGAGGAAATCGACACCGTTAGTAACTTGTCAAGACTAGGCTTCGGAACGGGCATATACAGCCGAGCTGCAACCATCACGAATGTGCGGAGAGTCACCAGCCCACACGCCGAGATTGGCGGATTCGTCTTCAAGAAAACAATCGTGGCGGATTGTGTGGGGGTCCAGTTTGCGTCGTTTCATGGCTACAACGGACAGCCTTTCCGAAAGATTGACAACCTTATCGACCATGTGAACGCCGTTTTGTCGGTACTCGATTCAGATCGTCCATGCCTGTTTGCGGGTGACTTTAACACGTGGTCACAGGCCCACATCGATGCTACCACATCTGTCCTTGGTGATGCAGGCTTTGTCTTGGCGTGCTCGTGGCCGTATCCGGGAAGAGATCTTCCTTTGGATCATGCGTTCGTTCGAGGCGTACAACTCGAGAGCTCGTTTTCGTATGGCTGTGAATCAGATCATAACGGGGCGGTGCTCGAGATAAGCCTTCCTTAGCTTCAGCAATGTCGATATGACACAAAACGAGCGTCTCGGTGATACACACAAGAGTAAAGTGGTACTTTTGGGGGTAATTTTGGGTACTTTGCCGTGTGACGATACATACATAAGCGAACTGTGGAATAAGTTTCTCCAACGAACAATGCTCGACGTTGATTTCCAACCCCTCTTCGATTGACCCCTTTTGTAGAGAAGTACTGTTGCTGCCGAACTCACGGTCGTCAAGTGATCATTATTGGGCGCAGTCTGCTCTCGACACCATCAATAATATTTTGTCGTTCGCTACTCGGTCTGTTGGTTAGGCGTCTTGGGCGAACAACAGGCTGGCTGGGTGTGGTAGCAGCCCAGATGTGGGCGTTTCCCTCACTATCCAGAATACAGGGATACACCGGTCCAATACCTCGAAAGAATAACTCGAAAGCCTGAACGTGGCGTGGAAACTTATTAATGATGAGAACAGGCGTTGCTGCTGTACGGGACCAACCGCGGCAGCAAGGGTACCAGCGGTGTTGTTGTTTACCAGATTACAGTTCTTCGCGCCCCAGCAAGAGGGTGACAAACGGTCCTTGGAGATTCTGCTTACATCTTAACAGTTGATATTTGCCTTGCAGGTCTTGGGGGCGACAGGAATCAGGAGAAGGGAAGAAATACACACAAAGGGCACAATTCAAACAAGTCAGGTCGGTTAGTTTTGTTGAGCGTTTTCCGACGTGGTTCATACTTGCCAAAACCTTCGGCTAAGCTGTAAGTGTCCCAAAATTGTTGAACACCCCCCGGTGGTTCTTCTTTGCCAGTGAAACGGACCGCTTTCGCCCCTTGCTGAACATGGGCCCGTTCGCTATGTGATTCGCCCAGCTACGTCGCCCGGCTCACGCCTCCTCATCGCCAAGAAATGACACCCATTCAATGATGGCTAATAAGAGGTACTCGTCTGCTTCAAGTCGCTGATGCCGGTACTATTACTTTTCATACAATCGTCCGACGCACCCATCCATAAGAAGGCCAACCTGCGCCAAACAATGAGAGAACAAACACTTTTTCTGGCCGAACTCACTGCACCTATACCGCAGTAGAGCCTCTCCAAATCTCTTGTCAAGATGTTGACTCTTATGCGTCTCCGCCGCCGTCGCAGGACATATTAATGGCGGCGACGAAACGTCACTCCCATGGTGCAGCTTGCGCTGCCCCTGACAAGGAAACCGTCTTCTGTTGAAACATCTATCTACCGCGGCTGCTGCTGCTGCTGCGGTCACCACCGCTCTTGCTTGTTGTTTTGTTGTCGCTCGGGAGCCTCGGGGGGGGCTGTAGGCAACATCGCGCCGACTCACTTTCGCGGTAGTTCGCCCCCGCCCTACGAATGAAACGCCCGACGACGTCAGTACGGCTGGCGACGGAAGGGGAGGAGGAGGAGGAAGAGTGGTGCCGCTTCGCAAACGCACCAGAACAGAACTTATGAGGCAGCACCGAAGTCACGCAGAACGTGGCTGCTGCCCCCGCCAACCCTGCTAGTCAGAACTACATGTTAAGTTAAAAAAACAGACGGCCCCGTAGACTACTGTATATATTCCCCCCACCTCTCTTTATAAGGCTGACAGGGGTAGTGGGAGCCCGACCGTTTTGGCGGCGAGTCGACTTTGCTTCTTTCGATCTCCGAGGCGTGTTTTTTAGGGGGTGCAGAACGTCCACCACGTCGCCCGAACACCCACAAGGCCGAAATCTGTTTTTCTGGCAACAAGTTTTTTTTTTCGCTTCTAATATTTCTTTGTGTGGCGGGATTTGAACCCTGGTTATCTTCCTCCTAAACCAGACAACAATTCGTCGACGCCCATGTCGAAGACGGTATTATCGTCCTCGACACACGTTGGGGACATTTGACCCTTATTAAATATTTTGGGGGTCATCTCTAACCTCTTCACCTTTTTTCAGAGCTAGGTGCTGGTCGGTTGAGTATAAGGACTTGACACGTTTTCTTTTTCTTAACAATTTCTGAACATGACCCAAACAATCCATCTCTATCTAAGAAAAAAGTCTACTAATAAGATAGACTTGTTTCAGGGCTTAGTCCAGTAGACTGCGGCACATATCAGAGAAAAATGTACCGTGCCCCAGCGGTGTGTGGAGAGTCTCCACTGGCCAATCAGAAGCCGAGGGAGGCCAAACGTGGCTGGGTCCGGGTCCCAAGCTCAAGAGATGCGATCCACACTGATGATGCTGTCTAGAACTTGAACATGCACCACTTTTTTACCATTTCCATATGTAGACTATGCATGCAAGAATTCGCCATCACCTCAGCGTGTCGAAGACGCGCACGAATCTTCCCGTCCAAGAGGTTAACCCATTCAATACCAATTTCATCACCGCGAGCTTCATTCTCTGCTTGTTACCGCCGACGAGGTTCGGAGCAAGGGGACAATACGTACGGAAACCTGCAATACTTATGCTTCAAAGCAAAATCACCCCTAAATATGAATATATCGTGAACCGCATTAACTACAGGATGTCAGCGTACACCCGGGTACCCACTATACGAAACGCATGCCTAACACTCACTCCGGTACGCACGTGTCTGGGACGAAGCCCAACACAACCAACGTGGTCGTTGTCGGCTGGTTGTGTTTGTTTCTACGTGACGAACCAAACTCGGACCCTCTTACCAAATTCCCCGACAGATCTCGTGCGTATGCACCCAAGCAGAAACGTCACACAGATTGTGACGGGTGATACCACTCGTGCCTGTCTTCGTGAAAGGACGCTACTTATCGCACAGGCGCAGACATTTAAATTAACAAGGAACGGACTTGTCGCAGGGCTCTCTGCGTTACTTCCCCCACCCCCACCGGGGCGCTGAGAGTAAAAAACGGTTTACACCCCGAACGAACAAGATACAACAGATCAATACATGCGTCCAGAAGGATCAATAAAATATACGCGTTGTACCCTTCACGCGAACCCCATAGCGAGGGGTGCTTGGAATGCTCTTCAACTATGCACCCTGGCAAGCTTTGTCGTCCTCGCGGGGCAGCAGCAGCAGACCCACCACGGCGGGAAATCGTCATCCCTCCCGGACGCGCCGCCGAGAGACCGCGAAGATCGTTCGCCGAGCCGGCACGGCGCCGCTTCCCCCGGCAGCGGCAGCGGCAGCGGCAGCAGGTGAGGAAGAAGAAGACTGCCGTCCTCCTCCTCCTCCTCCTCCTCCTCCTCCTCCTCCTCCTCCTCCTCCTCCTCCTTCCCTCTCCCTCCTTCCTCCCGCCCCACGCGACGAAGCCGACGGTATCATCGAGGCTACACCTGTCGGCATGAAGGCAGGAGGGGTGGAGGACCCCGCCGCCGGATTGCCCTCGCCCGTTGGTAGCGCCAGCGGGACTATCGCGGCCGTCCTGCCGAACGCGGGCGAGGCGCCAGCGCCGCCGGTACCGCTTGTGCCTGCGGCCGCCGCCTCGCCGCCGCCGCCGCCGCCGCTCGCAAGAGCTACCGCTACCGAACCTGGTGCAGCCGCAGCAGCGCCCGCTGCCGCCGCCGCCGCCGCCTGCGGCTGTTGTGACGGTGCGGAGAGAACGATGTAGTTGTCGAACGCCGACCGACAGACGGGACACTTGTCGACATGCCGGAAGCACTCGGTGCACACGCAGAGGTGCCTGCACGGCAGCAGCAACGTGTTCTTGGGGTCCGTGAGGCAGATCACGCACTCCTCGGGCACTTCTTCCCCCGCTCCTAGGCCCCCGGCCCCGGCCCCTCGAGAAGCCTGCGCAGGGTTGCTACTGCCGCCGCCGCCGCCGCTGACAACGCTGCTGCCGGCGTTGTTGGTGTTGCTGGCTGTGTCAACCGTGCTGCTGCTGCCGCCATCCACCGTTGCTTGGATGGAGCCAATATTGGAGGCCAACCCTGGTCTCGCCGCCCCCCCCGCCTCGTCGCTAGCGCCGAACACCTTTGAACAAGGCGAAAAAAACGAGTGGGGTGGCACAAAGGGGTTATAACTACGGGCACGATGATACTCTTCTGCCCCCGGCATGTTTCAGTTGCAGTGGGGGGATTCATCTCAGGGATGCCATGGGATAACAAAAAAGGGCGACGGCAATCCACAACCATTCACGAGTGAGCCTTCCACCTTACTACAATAGAATGAGAAACTAGGGGGTCTCAAACGACAAGGGGGGAAGACAATGCAATGCCACTGCCCATCGGCTACCCATCGA